AAAAGTTTGGTTATGGGATTGGTGAGTAAAAGTGACTCTAAAAGATAACTCTGTTCTGTCACAGTTTATCAATGACAACTGAAAGATATGCAAGAGGCAACTGAAGTTTCCAAAAACAAAACTTATATGGTCTATGTTTTGGAACAACATAGATATATCCCTGGGTAGTAAATTCTGTATACATAAAGAAGAACTCTGACTGATAGTCAGGCTCAGGATTACAGTAACATCACTGACAATCCAAATCTCTCTTTTAGGAGTTTATGATTCACTCCTTTGTGACCAAAAATTTAGTTAAAAAATACATAGATGAAAAACTGGTTTTGAAATACTTACATAAGAAGGTGAATTATCTGTTTGGATTTGCGGACAGTATAGCCTTTAAAGAAATGGCTTCAGAGTTTTAAGACCTGTGAGTTCGAAAGAGTCTTTAGATGTGTGAGGAGATTCTACCCTTTCTCCCCATTCCAAACAAATGTTACACACTCCAGTCTATTGTGTGGGTTGACTGGGGAGCCTGTAGTTTAGGGTTACATATTTTAGAGTTGCTTGAATTTAGTGAACTAGTCAACTCCAGAATTCTGATTTCATAAAAGTAATTAATTCTCTGCCCTCCTCAGCAGACACTTTGCCATCGGATCTTCTCTCCCACCCAGGCATTCTGATATTTGAATGGGGACAAGACAAGACACTCAGTCTAGCTTTCACACTATGCTACATAAAGTGACTCTGCTATCCATTAATATTCTGAAAAAATATTTTAAAGTGTATTGAATGCTTTTCCCCAGGTTATAGATCATAGGTATGAGAATGGTATCTTAGAATCACTAGAACTATCCTGCTCCTTCTTTTTCTTGCCATGTATGGGGGTTCTTCTAAATCATTGGTTCTCAACCTTCCTAATGCTATGACACTTTAATATAATACCTTATGTTGTGATGACTCCAATCATAAAACTAATCCATTGCTACTTCACAACTGTAATTTTGTTACTGTTATGAATCATAATGTAAATATCTGATATGCAACCCCAAAGGGGTCGATCCACTGTTCTGGACATATCTAGGGTCAAGCCTCATGAAACTTATCATTTGTAAAATCCTATAGACTCCTATAAAAGCCCACTGTCCAAAGCAGCATTCAAAGCTCTTTACAATATGATTCTCAACTGTTTTCTCAGTCTTACCTCTTGATTTTCTACTTCAATGTGCCAGCTATTCACAAAGTCGTGTTATTTCTTCTGTCAGGAATATTTTTCCTGACATGTTTATACCTATTAAAGTCCTAAACAAGTTTCAACTCACCTTCAACTCCTTGGTGAGGATGCTCTCAAATTTACCATTAAATTACTTACTGCATCTTTGGTATTTTTGTTTGTTTGTTATGTTTTTGATGATTTTTTTTGGTTTTGGTTTTTTGAGACAGGGTTTCTCTGTGGCTGTCCTTGAACTAGCTCTTGTAGACCAGGCTAGTATCGAACGCTCAGAGATCTGCCTGCCTCTGCCTCCTGAATGCTAGAATTAAAGGCGTGTGCCTCCAACACCCAGCTTGCATCTTTTTTTAAAAGCACTTTCCCATGTAATCATGACCTATCTACTACCATGTTCTTTAATTCATATCTATTTTGAATTTATTTGAGACAAGCAAATATGGCAAATTAACTTATACTTCTGTGGTGGTCTATCTTTGTTCTTACTCTGAGTGGAAATGGATTCAACTAAAAGTCACACCTCTGGACTGTAAGGGTATTTCCAGGATAACCTGAGGAGGGAACACCCTCATTCATAGTGGGCAGCACCTTCGCATGGAAAAGGTCTACAAGGAAAGCTGGACTTTGCTTGGTCCTCTAGAGAGCTCTGACTAATATATTGTGGCTTTAAAAGTTCAAGGGTCAAGTCACTGATATTTGAAGTAAATACTCATTATAAGTGTTTCCCTTCACTATTGTTATACTACAGGTAGATATCATCATAAAAAATTATCATTCCAGAGGTAATCTCATAAGCATTGCGTCACCCTTTTCTCTCCAGCCCCAGTAATTAATGGCACTTGACCTCGTCACACCTACTTAGCCCTTTTGGCTTTATCATCTCCATAACCTGAACTCTTAACTTCAGCTGTTCCATGAAGTCTTAAGTAATAACATTCTATGAGAAACAGTCTGAGGTCACAGAGACACCATTGCTGTTAAGAGTTTCCTCCAAGGTGAGTGAACTGGGAGAGCAAGCCTAGCATTATACTAAAGAGGACATGGTTACTTCTTGGTTTTGAAAAATCAACAAGCAGTAAACAAAACCAATCAGGTGATGTTTGAATTCAGGTACTTTCTAGGAAGACAGTAGTTCAACAAAAGATTCATGTAGAGGGAACATCAAATAAAGCTACAGAGTGTGTTAACAGCATGGCTGTGGTTGTTGATAGAGGGAAATTAAGAAGCAGGTATAACAACACAAAGAGGGATGCTCTCTCAGTCTGGACTCTTAGGGGAGTGCCTGGACCCTGCCCTGAGTGAAATGACAGACTCTAGATATCCCCTATGTGGAAGGAAGTGGGGATAGGGTGGGAGGCTGGGGGGGGGATGATGGGGGTATGTGGGAGGAGGGGGAGGGAGAGGGAACTGGGATTGCCATGTGAAGCAAGCTATTTAAAATTAAAATAATAAAATAAAAAAGAAGCAGGTATATTAAAGACATTATACAGGACTACAGATGCAAGTGTGGGACACAACAAAGAGCCTGGTTAACCAAGCCAATAAGCTCAGGCTTAACTTCTGTAGAGATAGGCATCTAATGGCTCTAAGTGGGGAAGTCAGTTGCCTGGTCATTTTTTGTTGGAAGACATTGAGACCAAGAGAAAGGAAAAAATATTGGAAAGAATTAAAGAATACCAAAACTTAGAGCCAAGGAGAAAAGAGAGAAGGAGATGACTGGGGACGATTTAAAGGCAGCAATACAAGTTCTTGGAAACAGTTGTATTCAGAGTGTTTCAGGAAGGGCAGCTAGAGGAAGCCTCATTCTCTAGTTCATGTGTCTGGTGGCAGAGAAAGATCCCTAGCTCAACCCTGCGCAAAGGGAGTCTGAGGAATCTGTGTGAGCCTTTGATGTACCCATGCTCATCTTCCAAATGGCTTACTTTTAACACTGGAGTGGGAGTCAGGGTGGAAATGATAAGATGGAGGGAGAAATGAGTTCACATAATCCCTCATTCATTTGTTCTGATTCCAACATTGAGGTTTCTAGAACAAGAAGTTTGAAACTACTGAAATAAATGTGTAATTGCAAGAGAAAGAATAAATGCCCTTTTCATAGCTTGGATATTTCTTGATGGCTCCCAAATGGAAACCTTTCCAAACAGTTCCGTTGAAGAAGGAAGGGGAAAGCTGATAGTTTGTACATGCTAAAGCATTATGTAAATTGCATTTTAATTCTTACAATACGCCTCTATAAATTGGTGTAATTATTTCAATTTTACAGATGTGAGACCTCAAAGTCCAGAGAAGTTAAGAGAATTTCGCAAGAACCCCAGATGGAAGTGGTAGAAGCTAAATCTAAATCTATAGCTGCCTGGTTCTAAACCCCAGGCTTCTTCCATTACATGATACTGGATGTCAATTACTCAGGGAATAGCTTGGCTCCAGGAATAAGACTCACAAAAATAGCTAATTATGGGGAAACTGAAGGGTTTCATTGTCCCACAAGCTGCCACATGCTCAAAAAGGGATTCCTTGCAGAAGTATTCCTGCCAAAGACTGAATGAGACTCAGTTTCACAAAAGATCACACTTATCATCTTCCATCCAAGAATCCTTCCTTAATATTTGTGAAATGCAAGCCAGCCAATCAAAGAACAAATAGGCCAGTGAGAAAATACAGAAAGTATAAAATTTCCTATCAGATCTACAAACTGGGAGGCAATCTTGATGTCCTCCTTTAATTAGAACGTCAGCACCAATACCAACTGCCAGTTTTCCCCATCTAGGCTAGACGTTCTCTGTCCTAAAAGGACAAAGGTGACTGTAGAGGCCAAAGGATTTTTCTTGAATCTGCTGTTTTAAGAATTCAAAATACCATTTAAATCAAGAACAAATATTATTTAATGGGTAGATTAGTACATTAGCATTTTCTGGTGGGACTTTTTCTGTTCAGCACAGTGGTACCTTTTCCTTGGAAATTTCAAAGCAGCCTTCACATGACCTTGGGAAGATGTGAGTCAGGAGAGGGGGAAAACCTACTTGCAAAACAATTTACATTTGCTTAGGAGCACTAACCATGCTGTACAACATATGTCAAAATTTTAAAGAGAACAGAACTTCTTTGGTCTGTGCAATGTATACAGTTCCTGGGCTTTGATGTTTCTGTTCCTGACCTTTTATTTGTACAAAATCGTCTGGTTTAAAAAAATCTTTTATATCTTACCACCGACCTGTCAAACATTATTTTAACTTAAAGAATAGCTGACTCTATGCAGCAAACCTCGAAAATCCCCATGTTTAAAAACAATCTACCATTATGCTATATGTATTTAATATGCTTTAATTAAGGGAACGTGCCACTAAGAGAAATATTGTGTGTAGGTTCAGAAAGACTATAGACACATGAGTGGCAGTTACCACCTCTTCTGCTATGTCCAGTGCTTACAACTCAGTGGCTCAAATGGAATTTCAGTCATCCTCTTAACACTATTTCTCTAACTATGCATACTCACAGGTTTAGAGCAATCTTCTAACTCTGGAATCAATGGACTATTTGAAAATGAATTGAATATGTCTTTTGGAGAACACCTCACATGACTCAGTCAAACTTAATGCACCACAGCCACCAACCCCCACATTTTTTCCATTGTTTGACAAGCATTGACTTGATTCCCCCTGGCCAGTGGTATAACCCTCCGGAAAGAGCTGTGTGAAGTGCTTCCCACCAGTCTCTCTGAGGGGGAGGTCACAATGCACAGAAATATGTGCCTTAGTGAGCTCAGAAGAACTGGACATCAGAGGGAAGGAAGTGGGGGGATCTGCATACAAGGAGTGTTGTTCATGATTAAACCAAGTGGAATGGCTCCGTAGGAAGTGATCCCTACTCCCATTCACTGGCAGAGTTAGGCTGAGAGGCAAAAGGAGTGGGAGATGCTATAACTGGATTCTTGTAAGTATTTAAAAACTCTGGCATTGCAATCAATGGTGCTTTTCCCATTTATATCCTGTTATTGTTATTTATTGTTTCTGAGAATACTGGAGAAGTATCTTGTGTCATTTTTTGTTGTGTGAGTTACTTTAACTGATAAAGGAGCACTAAGCAGAGCTTTTGAAGTCAGTCTTTACCTTATACATGCTAAGTAGCCACTGAAGGGATGACGATAAATGAAGGCATTAAAAACAAATAATAAACCCTCTAAGAGTTAAATAAAATTACAGTCACTGTAGACTAACGGTCAAGAAACTCCGCCCTTTAAATTGTCCTTATTTTGAGAATTCTAAATAGAAAATTTGAAACAAATTCTTAATTGTAGTCCTGGGACTCCAGTAACTTTCTATATGAGACATGATGTCTGCACTTCCAGTTTTTAACTGTAACAATTCACTTTTAAAATGTTTATTATTCAATTCATATGTATTTACCTGGGTGACGTTATGTGTACAACATGTGTGTAGATGCCCACAGAAGTTAGAAGAGGATGTTTAGCCCTCTGGAACTAGAATCATAGCTGATTGTGAGTCCCCATGTGGGTTCTAGAACCTGGGACCAAACTTGGTCCTTGTGCATGAGTAAGCTGGGCAGTCTATCCAGTCCCCATAGCAATCTTAAATACCCAAAGATATCATTCTCTTATATTTTGTTACCGTTACAACTTCAATAAAACCAATAACCCAGAAGAGGAGAACTACAAATTAAGGCAAAGACACTGTGCTTCAATTAGAACTGATCACTCCCCTTAAATTTCCATCAGGGGCTATCCAAATCATTCCCAAAAATTGTATGTTACTTCACTTTGGAATTTTCACTTTGAATATGCACATCATTGATATTAACATGTTTATTAATTGAATGTTGTCTTGGAAAGGACACAAACTGGCGGAGGGGGAAGGGGGCTTAGCTTGCTGAGCTGCTGTCTCCCCAGTAGTAAGGCAAAAGTACCAGCTTGGATTTAGGAAGGCCTAGGCTCTATCAGCCATACCATTCATTAGTCTAGTCAGTGAGAGGGTACTAGTGAGGAAGGAACAAGCTCCAGTCAATGCGATCACGTAAATATAAATATAAACCAGATAAGGAAGTTGCACTGATCCCAGATCTATGTGCCAGGGGCTGACAGGAACTTTGAGATTTTTGTGGGAAAGGGAAAAAGATTGCACAACCCCCAGGGCAGATTATCTCAGGCAGAGGGATGGTGTGGCTGCTTGTTATCTCTACTGTGTTTCTGCGTGGTATTTGCAGGATCACCATTGCTCTTGGAGGAGGGTGATCCCGTTCCAGGAAGATGACTGATTGCTCCTGCTCCAAGGTTAAGCTGCAGGCCCATCATGGGACAACTGCTCCAAATTGAAGGATTGTGAGACTCCAATTGCTTGAAGGGAGTCTTGATCCCTTGTCATAAAGATGCTCATCAGTCCTGTCCTCCCCTGAATCCAAGGTAACTCCAAAAGGCAGTGCATAGACAGGGGGGAAGAAAGGAAGAGAAGCCCAGTCCAACAGACCTGACTTAGGCCAACGCTGAGTTCTCTTCATTACATTTTCTTATCTCCACCCCGCAAATCACTCTTCTTTGAAATGAAGGGATATATGACACAAGTTTTTAGATTTCCTTAATGTAGGTCCTTTATTCAAATAAATGCATAACGACAAAGATCTAACTTCAGAGACAACCTGTGTGCAGTTATATAATTTGTTAGTTTGATGATTTATTTGTTCATAGCTAGTCGTCTTATTTAAACATCAATCAGTTTAGGCTCTGAGTTAAAACAGTGGTAATATCCCTAATGAACACTCACAGTCACGAGTCAGCACCCTATATTTTACTTATTGTAACCACTTTTTGGACTAGTATTCAAAATGTATTACCATAATACATTCTGGATGGGACAGATGGCTCCACACTTAAGAGACCACGCTGCTCTTAGGGGGAAATCTACCGAGTTCAGATCTCAGTACCCACATCAGGGGACTCACAACTACCTAGAACTAAAGCTCCAGAGAGAGTCCCATACCTCTAGACTCCCTAGTCCCTGACCCTCACATACACACACACACCATGGACATACACACATATGCATGATTAGAAAAGTAAAAATAAATTTTAAAAATTAAGTAATGGCTTCTGTACTTCCTATTTACTAATAGAGACTTTGATTTTTGCTTTTGATTTGTTTTGTTTGGAATCACAGAAATGAATCTGGGAAGATAGAAAGGTGAAGGGCAGGATCTGGGAGAAGCTGAGAGCAGGAGAAACATGATCAAAATATATCGTCTGAGAATGATTGTTAAGTAAAGAAGATTTCTACAAGAGCTGCTACTTGAGTAAGAAGAATTTGTAATTATTTGAGAAGTTTGGTATCTGCAAATTTTTCACTATAACTGAGAAAGTGTGAATATGCCAGTAATTTAAAAATATCCCTTACACTTTTAACCTTTTATTCCTCTCATTGTCTGTCCATCAAGGAAGTCTCTCCTACCTATGTCCCTTTCTTTGCATCTCCCTGTAAATGCCCATCTTCACATCTTTGACTATAGAGACTGAACCTGAAGGATTACAAAATGATTTGTTTTTGCCCCTTTCCCTATAAATATGATAAATATGTCCAATGAGTTGATTTTTATGATTACTGAGCATCAGTAATCTTTTACACAAGTCTAACCTACATCATTCTTGCATTTGTTTGTTGGATTTTCTGCCACAGGAAATTGTTTATAGTGTACCTCACAAGCTAGTGAATTTTGTTCTCGTCTGCTCTTGTATAACTAATGGGATCCCATTTTAGCCATATTACTTTCAACACCTTCATTCCACACTCCTCTTTCTCTTCTAGATAGACTTTTCTGAAACACTGAAATACTTGTTTTATTTTCAAATAAAAACATCGGACAATAGAATATACCAATAAATACCCAGACAGGAGCCCACTGTCAAGGGGAGAGTAGTGCCAAGTGCTATTGCTTGTGTTCTGCAACCGTCTCTAAGTGACTATATTCTGCCTCATACCCAGCCTCAAGTTGCCTTTATGCAACAAGGGAACATCATTAAGAATGCAAAAACAGAAGTGAATTTTGATGAAAAATAAATAAAAGTTGATGGGATTTAAGGTTTTAAGAAATATTCAAAAGAAACAAAATATAGTTAAAACAAAACAAAAAAAGTCACTATGGTCTCAACAGTGTTGGAAAATAACAAAGAAGATGGAGTAAATGAAATGCTGGTGACCTGTGAGTTCATAATCAAGCCAGTGGAAAATGCGGAGTTAGACATAAAACATGAAAGTTAGGAGATCTGGGACTCTGTGCCAACCTCCCCACAGAGCCTGTGGCCGATGTGGCTACACTACTGGTATTGTTTATGTATAACACAATGGACAAGCGCAGCACTAACATAACTAAGACACAATTGTCTTTTATATGCTATTGTCCCTTTCAAATGGATTCAGTGACAGTGCCAGGAAATTACTAGAGCCACTAATTCAGTAAGGCTTCAGGATGAAACCAATATATCTAATTCTTTTCATTTGTATCCACTAGATAGAAATGAAAAGGAAATCAGGAAAACAGTCCCATCAGAAATAAAAATGCTAAGAAATAAGTATAAGCAAAGAGGTGACAGACATTTACATTAGAAACTATAATACATGGGTGGCGGAAGTTGCAGGAGACACAAATGGTAGGAATGGGTGTCTTCTAATCATAGCATAGAAGAATTGATTTTGTTAGTTTGTTAGTATTACCCAGAGTTACATACAGATTCAGCATAATTCTATCAAAATTCCTATGGGCTAGGTATGGCAATGCATGTCTTTCATCTCCGCACTTTATAGATAAGGGAGGTGGATCTCTGTGAGTTCCAGACCATCCAGGGTTAAATAGTGAGACCCTGTCTTTAAGCACTAATCACTCCAATGGTATGTTTCACAGAAATAGAAAATAAATCTATAGATTTTTTTACAGAACCCCCTCCAAAAAACACAAGTCAAGGCAATCTTAAGCAAGAACAAAACTGAAGGTACCACATTTCCTAATTTCAAACTATATTCAAATTCACCAGTCCAAAGCTGTACTAATATATGAAAACAGACACATAGGCCAACAGACCAGAATGAACCCACACACACACACACACACACACATTCAACTAATATTTCATAAGGGTGTCAAGAATACACATTGAAGAAAGGGTAGTTAAGTAATGCAGGGAAAACTGGGTATCATATGTCATAGACTAAATATGACCCCAATCTAACACCATTCACAAAGATTAAGTCAAAATGTTGTAAAAATCAGGACTGGGCATGACCATGGAATGCTCAGTCCTAAATGGGATTTCTCCAAGTGGGGTCCTGGCACCAAGAGTGCAAGTAGATACAGGCCCCCATGCCTAACCCCAAAGCTAGCTCCATTGACAACCTCTCACAAATAAAAAAATGAGTTTTTTTCTAGTGGAATATCACTGGGTATATAAACCAAATTTAGGAAACTTAAGGGCAGGACTCATGCCATGTAGTTGATGGACAACACAGAATGAACTCAATGGTATTTTGGAGGATTTTTGTTGCTGCTGTTATTGTTGTTATTCTCATAACGCTTTGTCTGGGCATTTTTTTAAATCTTGTATGTCTTAATTATCCCTGACATTCCTGCAAGAATATGCAGTGAGTTGCCAATTTGATTGTGGCAATCTTTCTACCATACAAGAAACTACATTGTAAACCCTACATTTATACAATGGTTTATACCTCAACAATGCTAGAAAAATATTAAATACTCAAGTAAAGATCTTTTTGATTGACAAAAATAGAAGACATTCAATGACAGTGATCTTCCCTTGATGTGGATGGGAAATTACAAATGTCACTCCACTGCATGACAATACTCTATGACCTGCTAAGTTCTACACATAACTTTGATATAGTAAATAAAGCCAAATCCCATGTAATAGCCTACTAACATTACATAATAATTAGTATTAGTATTGATATTTTCCCTGCCTGTGGACTATGGAATGAAATGTGCAGTTAATGTTTCATTTGCTTTAATGCTTTTGAAAGATCTGACTTCTCCATGCTGTTGACTTGGTGAGACCCAATAACTGGCAACAGACATCTAAAAAGAAAAGTGCCCATCCTTTCTTATATTCCTCCAAAGTCTTTCTAGCTACCTAACTAGGTCCTGCTTAAACAAATCCTCTTTGTACTGCAATACGAGAAATACTAACTGTTGGCACTCCTCACTATTGATGAAAATGGAAATGTACACCCAGTTATAAAGTCATGATCAGGATATTCCTGAGAGCCTATTTATTTGTCTTAGTTGCATTCCACACTGGGATCAGTCCTTGTCAGATACAGTTATAGACCCATGTTAGCAAACTCAATTCATTTCCTAGAGATCATGCGTGAACCACACTGGCTAGGTGGGACGGAAGCATACTGGAGAAAGCAGGCCTCCAAAGTGGCCTATGCCACAGTGAGGACAATGGCATTTGATGGTCCTGATTTTCTTGAAAATTTGAAGACCTATATTTTTATATGAAGTCTCCATAATTGTTGATGTGGTCTTAAAACTTTGGAAAATGTTTGTTCGGAACTTACACTCAAGTACACATTGGAAAGATTCACAGGGAAGAATACCACCTTGTGAACACACAGCAGAATTCCCTCACCCTTGCTCAGCTGCCACTCACATGTAACTTCGCTGACAAGGATCTCAGATGAGACGAAGGAAGCTGACCATCAGAAATTACTTCTCTGCATGAAGTGTTTGCACACAAGTACACAAACAGGACAATCTTTGTTGATATGGAAGAGAGTGGTATACTGGGTGGCAAGTACATTTGCATTTCAGGATGAATGGAAGCTATTTTTCACCTTCCTTCTGTATTTAGAAACAGCCAGACAAGTCAAACAAAAGGACACGTTTCCTTTAATCATGGTGGGCCTGGGCTATGCATTTTTGTCTTCCTGCTTCCTTTACTGCTCAAGTGCTGGTACTGAGGCAAATGTCAAAGGTCACTGCCCACAAGAGCATCACTCTCCCCTGGGATGACACACTTGCAGCCTAACTTCAGAATATTTTTTCCAGATGCCTTCAACAAACAGCTTAAGCAGGTGAATCTTTAAATATCATCCAAGGAATCCAGTGGAGTATCAATATGCTCAGAGATGCACCCCAACAGATAGCCACCTTCATTTCCCCCATTTTTCATTTAAATTAGAAGCAAGCTTGTTTTACATGTCAATCCCAGTTCTCTCACCCTCCCCTCCTCCCTTGTACCCCACCAGCCTCCTATCCCATCCCCAGGGAGGGTGAGGCCTTCCTTGGGGGATCTTCAAACTCTGTCATATCATTTGGAGCAGGGCCTAGGCCCTCCCCGCTGTATCTGGGCTGAGAGAATATCTCTCTATGTGGAATGGGCTCCCAAAGTCCATTCATATAATAGGGATAAATACTGATCCACTACCAGAGGCCCCATAGATTTCCCAAGCCTCCTAACTGACACCACGTTCAGGGGGGGTCTGGATCAGTCCTATGCTGGTTTCTCAGCTATCAGTCTGGGGTTCATGAGCTCCCCCTTGTTCAGGTCAGCTGTCTCTGTGGGTTTCTTCAGCCTGGTCTTGACCCCTTTGCTCATCATTCCTCCCTTTCTGTAACTGGATACCAGGAGTTCAGTTCAGTGTTTAGCTGTGGTCTGCTTCTGTTTCCATCAGTTACTGGATGAAGGCTCTAGGATGGCATATAAGGTAGTCATTATAGGGGAAGGGTGTTTAAGGTAGCCTCTCCACTATTGCTTAGATTGTTAGTTGGGGGTCAACCTTGTAGATTTCTGGCCATTTCCCTAGTGCCAGATTTCTCTTTAAACCTATAATGGCTCCCTCTATTATGGTATCTCTTTTCTTGCTCTCCTCTGTTCTTTCCCCGACTCAATCTTCCTGATCCTTCATGTCCTCCTCTCTTCTCCTCCTCTCCCCCTTCTCTTTCTCCTAACTCCCTCTCCCCTCCCCCAATGCTCCCTGTTTGCTCAGGAGATCTTGTACCTTTCCCCTTCTCCTGGGGACCATGTATATGTCTCTTAGGGTCTTCCTTGTTTCCTTGCTTCTCTGGCAGTATGGACTGTAAGCTGGTAATCCTTTGCTCTATGTCTAAAATCCATATATGAGTGAGTACACACCATGTTTGTCTTTTTGTGACTGGGTTATCTCACTCAGGATGATTTCTTCTAGTTACATCCATTTGCCTGAGAATCAAAATTCCATTGTCCTGCCCCCCAGTCTCCACCCCCCCACCCCCGCTGAGTAGTACTCCATTGTGTAAATGTACCACATTACTGTCGTTGGTATTTTTTATTTTAGCCATTCTCACAGGAGCAAGAATATCTCAGAGTTGCTTTGATTTGCATTTCCCTGCTGGGATAGCCACCTTCTTAAAGAAGACTATTTTAAACAGTGCTGGTGAGTAATGAAAGCAGGGCATTTATTTATTTATCAGCCTACTTTTGCATACATTTACAATTTTAATTACAACATGTTGAAAATTTAGAAGAGACATAGCTATAACAAATAACCATCAATTCAACCAGAAGATTATCCACAATAAGTAATAATATTCATGTTTGTTTTTAATACTTAATTTATTAATAATCTCATCATATATTATAGGCACTTGTTATAAACACCCTGAAGAATCTCCCAGAACATACCACTCACAAGATAGCTGTGCCTGAAACTGGAAAGCTGACATGTCTTTTTGACACACACAATGCGTTAACAGTTCAGAACCCACCTTTTTAATTATGTCAATGAGTTTAATTAAACCATTTGTCAGAGCCCTGTGTATGTAAAAACTTTTGTGAGAATATATAGCATCACACTGGCATCAGTCTACTACTAAGTATATGAACAGAGGAACCCAAATATAATTGTGGAAAGTTGCGGCTTCTGGAGTACGGGAATGAACTCTAAAATCTGCAAACCTTCTAAGCCCCGAATCAAATTTTGCATGCCCATTTTTAATCCTAGAGAAACTGAGTTAATTCCAAGCAAAATGAAAGAAGACAAAATAAATATATATCAATTTAATGACATGGAAGTATAGAAATGAAAACTGAATTATCCAGAAGGAAAAAAGGAAGGAAGGAACGAATGAAGGAATGAAGGAACGAAGGAAAGAAAGAATGAATTGTAAGCTTAAAAGACCAAAAGGTGGCCATTGACATTCTATTCGTTGACTTCTAGGAAACTGGTTGTATCACATGAGAATGCACTTTCAATTGCGTATGCCATGCTGGGTAACAACACATCTGAAATAGAATTCACAGGAAGTGCTCTAATTCAGAACATGCCAGAGAGCATCAGACACACCTGGATCTCACACTGTCAGTGCCTAATACAAAATGGCACCTAAAACACACAGCAAAATACAATGAAGTTAAGCATGACTGGATGGCAGAGGATTCTGAAGAACCATGAAAGGCCCAACAGAGCATCATATCTGCACATGAGAAAGCCACAAACAACGCAAAGAGAGAGAACAGTGAGCTCTGGGCTCCTGGTTTCTGAAACATTACATTTTATCCCAAGCAGGAAAGGTGAGGACTGGCTCAGACAGAAAGAGTACCATGGTAAATCTGAGGGTCCTTGTCTCTTCACTTTTGTAGAGGACTAGCAAGACAGGCATGAAAGAAAGCTGCAGTCTCTTCATACCCAAAGGGAGTCACCAGAGTGTCACAAGTTTTGTGTCATCTACCAAATTATCTTACTGGTTATAAGTGCCTGACTCTCCATCAGGTAGCTTACCTTTATCTGGAGAAAAATGCCATGAAATACAATCACTGGAAAAACAGATTGATTTAAGATTGGGCCAAAACTGAAGAAAGTTGAAGCTTCTTCCATATCAATACTGGAGTTTAAGGAAAAGACAGAGGGAAGCCAGAAACCCCTATCTGGAGATCTAGCTATGGGCCCCAGAATAGGACTTGGGTACAGAGCCTTCTCTCAAAGCCAGAAGCCATTTCAAGGCAAACCATTTTTATCCAAACATAAAACATTCTACAGGAAGCGAGAACTGAAAGGGACAATTCTATTTTTTAAAATTAAAATTTAATTTCGAAGATGGTCACTGCAATATTTCCAACATAAGCTAGAACTGTGAACAATAATTTCTTCCATCTTAATTTTGGGGAGTTCTGCTACAATTTTGTCAAGAAAACTGTATTGAATGCCCCAAGCAACTGTTTATATGTTACCCATTTTCCATCAATGCAATTTGGTAGACTAAAAGTAAGTTGAATTTTGTTGAATTTGTTAACTGTGTTGTTAAAAAAGGATTTAGTGACTATGCATGGCAACATGTGTTAATCAATATATACAATAATTAATTCACCCACTGAAAACAAACCTTAAAAATGGCTTAAGGGAAATGTTAAAGAGTTTTGTGTACTGTTCACCTCACTTATCATTGATTAAATACAGCATAGTGTATGATCAGAAGTGAAAGCTTATAAAACTATTAAAATAATAAAAAGTTAAATAGATACTAATTAAAACAGAGTACAAATGTGTGGTGATATATTATTTATGGTTTATTAAAGCTTTTCTGAGAATTCAGAGAGCAAAGCTGTTGAAGAGGTCAGTAAGTGGTAGCACAGACCTTTAATCCCAGGCTTCAGGAGACACAGGCAGAAGAATTTCTCTAAATTCAAGGCCACTCAGGGATACATTAGAGCAAATCCGTCTAAAAGAGAATTAGAGCTCTCCCATGACTCAGGAGAGGCACATAAGACAGGAGCAAGGTTTCAGTATCCAGCATTCATTCTCCGGCCACACTGAGGAGAGGCAGCAGGATCAGCCCTTTCAGCCTGAGGTAGCAGTAAGAGCTAGTAGCTGGATACTTTGCTTTTATGATCTTCAGCTTGAAGCTTGCACCCCATTAACAGACTCTGGTCTTTCATTTTTCGTTGCACAAAGGCTTTACAGTGACTCCAGACTCCAGGTTCATTTATATTATTAATGGCAAAGTGCATCTCAAGGCTGCTGTATGTACTGCACAAGTCAGCGTACATATCCACCAGAGACATGTTTTTCAATCTTGTTGTAAACAGTTAACGGTTGTGGAGGTGTATTTAACCACAGCATTGGATCCCATTGTTTTAATCTCAAGCTCATAATTTAAACCAGCACATGTAGTTGGTGGTATTGAACTTGCTGTGTTTAAGGCATCTCTAAATTTCATGAGTCTACACAGTAAACTCCAATCGGTTCCTCATTTCTAAGGTTCTAAAATGACTTGGGAGAGAGTTAAAACAACAAGAAAATCAGGACAGCTGCAAAGCAAAACTGACTGTTTCAAACACCTCATTATCACAGCGTCTTCAAACTGTGGGCATTGAAGGGAAAGATATTTTTACTAGAAACAGAAAATGGAAAGGAGGGAACTGTAGCCAATGTGTTGTCACATTAAAAACAGAATCAAGCCCTCATGATTTCTCCCAGTTTTTCCTTCAAGCAAATCAAAGATGCCTCTGCTACTTTAAGTCCAAGCTGCCTGCGATCTGCTTCATTTAAAAGCCAGAACATTTAGGTTGGGTCCAGAAACACATTTTCATTAGCTGCAGACTTAGAAACTGGAAAATCCTATGTCATCAGTGAGATGCTCAAGAAAGTATGATCAGGGGAGATGTTCAAGGAAGTGTGGTTAGCAGGCATTCTGGGAAAGAATAGCAAAAACTTGCAGAAGTCCTAGTCTTTGTCCAGAAAGATGGGTTTTCATGGCGAAGCACCACAAAAAGCCTGCACATTCCGATAGATTGACTGTTACCAGAATTGCGGTTCTTACTGCCATCTAAAACATGTTGTCAGTAAACAGAGGTATCTGCTAGACTAGGTACTGGGCAATGTCTACCTGATTAGTTAAGTAAGAATGGCGTGTGTATAAAACTTGGGCAATAGCTCATATCTCAGACATCCACATTCAAAAGTAGCATAAATAAGACAAATATGGCGAGTCTCTGATCAAAAGGGACAATAACACTCTATGAACTTTATGGCATTCCTCTCCAGACTTCAAAGCCTCCGATAAATTGTCATGAGCCAGTCCCATAGACAGATAGGGAAAATACCATTCTCCTGACCACATGGGTGTAATATCTGAAAAGATAAAAGAAGTGTTTCTCATTCAGGCTTTTCTTCAGTAAAAAGGGCACCATATAAATCTAATAAGATGCTGCCAGCTAGAGCTGTGTGATTAACTTAAGCAAAAAAAAATACTCATTTTCATAGTTAGAATGATAATGTTCACACACTGAATATCCCAGTGCCCTCATAGATTCTAGTCAAGCTTCCAGACTGCCAGACAAAATTTGGTCTGTTTTCTTCATTATCTTAATGCAAATCTCTGGTGGATCCATATAATCCTCATTGGATTAATGGAAAAATTCGCTCACTAGCAGTCTTCAATTTGTTTGACTTTTCATGCATTCATTTGCTCTCTCACCAAATATATTTCCTTACTATATTTTGTAATCTTATACCACTAAAATGTTTAATATTTCTTATCAAAAAGGATGATTTCAACATTTCCATAAATTTTCCTATTCGCTGTCTTTGTTAATGATGATATTTGATCACTTAATAGTTTTTTCAATGTATAACTCTGAACTAGAAATGTAGTTTAGTGATAAAGCATTTCTCCAGCCTGAGTGAGCTCATAGTGTACTGAAAAATAAAATAGAACTGGCCTGGTGGTACTGGTTTTAATCTGAGTTACTTAGGAGACTGAGATAAGAAGAATAATCACAAATTCAAGGCCAGTCTGGACAAGCTCAGTAGTAGCGCATTGAACTTGCATCCATGAAGACTTATGTTCAATCTCTAGTTACACACAGAGAGGCATATATTTCATAGCAAAATGGAATGCACACATTATATATCTTAAGAATGAATTCCCGAATCTGCTAAGACAGTGAATCCCTGTCATTCTACAGCACTTAGTTTTTTTCCATGGAATGCTTACTGCATTACAATTATTTTTAGATACTTTTATTTGCAATGTTTGGAATTTAGCCCAAGACTTAGTACAATCAAGCAAGTACTGTGCCCTCCACCTAAAACCCAATGTATATTTAATATTAAGATTTTAGTAATCAGAACATGCATATATGTAACAGGAAAAATAAAAAACCCAGAGACTGATATTGGGATTCAGTTTTAAAGCTGAAGATCAGAAAAGCAAAGCAGCCAGCCACTAGCTCTTACCTCTAGTTCAGGCTGAAAGGGCTGATCCATTCACAAGCTCTTCACCAACTCTCAAACTGCTGCCTCTCCTCCGTGTGGCTGGAGAGTGGAAAGTCTCTCTGAGACCTTGCTTCTGTCTTATATACTTTTCCTAATGTTGGAATTAAAGGTGTGAGCTATAATTCTCTTTCAGACTGAGTCACTCTTGTGTAGAT